TTTTATTTTTCTCGGATTTCGCGTCAAAAGTGCTTTTACTTTTTCTATTACACAAAAAGCACTTATTTTACCAAACACTACTCACTTTTACTTTTCAAAATCACTTTTTTTTTTCTTAAACACTATCAACTTTTATTTAATCACTTCTTCTCATTTCATTAAAAAAAGCACTTTTCTAAAAGCAGAAGCTGTTGCAAACAGACTCTTAATACTTCCTAATTTATATTACGTAATTAATAACAAAAACACAATAGTATTAATTCTAGCATTCTTCCCGCGAAAACAGAAATTTTTAAAGACTAAGATGAAAAGTAATGTTCTGTCAAAAAGAGAGATTTTTTTTTCAACCATGCTTGATGTACCCACTTTTATACCCACCTTATACCCACCATGTTTGTGAAAGTTTTTTTTTGTCTGTAAACCAGGTTCACAGACAATATTTTGTCTGTGCAAAATATTGTCTGTGAACCAAGGTTCACAAACAACACAAAAACACTTCACAAACATAGGTGGGTACAAAAGTGGGTATAAGAGTGGGTACAAAGATCATTTTTGTTTTTTTTTACACCGGTCAAAAAGAGAGATGAAAAGTAAAGAATAAAAGGTAGGTGAAACTACACATCTACGGTTTGCAGTTTGCAAAAAAAAAACAAAAACAAAAACTCAGATCTACGGTTGAATCCGCAACCAATGAAGAGGTGGGAGTGAGAAAATCAAGTTGCGTAGGGTATATTTGAATTGCATTTGAGATGCAGCACAAAAGAAGATATATAATATTGATTATAACTTGATATAGGAAGATGTTCGGCGGACAGTTAGGGGCCAACTTAAGCTACCAGAAAAACTCCCAAACCACCCTAATGATCAGGGCCGTCTAATGAATTTGGAGGTCCCGGTTCAAAATGTCGAATTGAGGCCCTCTAAAACGATAAAGAATAACAAATTTAATAATGAAATACAAAAAGACTATATAGTTAAATAAATTATAAGTGTTATAATGTTTAAAATACACAAATTAAACAATCTTAAAATAATATTACATCGCTGATGAAAATCCACATGAATATGATTGTCCTCCTAGCAGTTTTCGAAGCAAAACCATCACTTAAATCTTTATACTTTATCTTGTAGAGAGCTTCATTCACAATTTGATATTATTGTCAAACCATTGAGTCTTTGTTGTGACACAACACACGTTTTAGAATATGAACTAATACACAATAGATAGAAAAACCAACCTATAACTAATACATGTATGACACATACTAAATATTTGGAGGCCCTCTATAAACGTGGGCCCCGGTGCGAAGCACCTATTGCACCTCCTAAAAGACGGCCTTGTTCATACTACGTATCATCTTAAATTATACGGAATGTATATATAGGTCCATATTTGATAGTTCTACATTTCTACCATAATTCTTTTTAGGGGCCCCCATATATAGAGAACTCTTGTTATTTTCATTACTCCAGTGTTTAGTGAGGTACGGGAGTAGCTTAAAGACATTCAAAATTACTAAACCATCATGTTTGGTAACACGAAAATCGACTGTTTTTGTTGAAGTTATGGTTGAAGTGGTTGTTTTGACTGATTCTGTTGATTTAAGAAAAAAGTATATTTAAAATATATTTTATTAATAAACTAAAAGAAAAATTATATGTAAAAATAGCTAAAATGACCATCTACAGTAATTTCAGCTAATATAAGAAGAAAAATAACATCAACCTTATTTTTTTTATTACGCAATTCACTGTGCGAAATCAAAAGTTACATGTTAGATGAAAAAGTTGCTAGATAAGTCATAAGTTTGATACCCTTGCATATTACGGTCTTACGGAGTAGCATCCAAATGAATCTTGGACTATTTTGGGTGATTTCTGAGAATACGGGAAAACCTAACATCCAACGCAAAAATACGGGAGTTTGGCTAGGTTTTCTTAAAAAGAGAGATTTGGAAATGGGACTTCCAATTGGAATGATTAGGTCAGGTGGGTAGGAGGGGTAGGTTCGCCAGGAGGGGTGGGGGTTGGCTAATTTAAAATCTCATTTATTTATAAAGAGATGTAACTTTTTAAATTTTACCTTAAATTTTACAAAAAAAAAATATATATCAAAATTCATAACTTTTTATTACCTTTCTAATGACACCAATATTTCATATATAATCTTTTTTTTTTTTTGAAATTTTAATAGTAGAAAGTTTTCAAACCCAAAATTTTTCTTAAATAGATTCAAGTGCTAAAATTAAGATCTCACTATTCACATAACTATTTTACATGTTTCAATTAATTTAAAAAAAATGTTATAATTATATCATTCGGATCTATCTAAGAAAATTGAATCTGAAAACCTCATACTATTGAAATTTCAATTTTTTTAATATATATATATATATATATATATATATGGAATACTGGTGTCGTTAGAACGATTACAAAAAATTATGAATTTTGATATAATTTTTGTAAAAAAAATAAAGTACAAATAAAAAAGTTACATCGCTTACTAAAAAACTCATCTTTTAAATTAGCCTCACCCCTACATCTCCCCCTTCCTCCTCCCCACCCCACCACCATCCATCATCCAATTCATCTAAGAGAGCAAAGTCCCCTTTTTTGGAATGGCATTCACAAAACCCCGGCGGTTTAAGAATTTCCTCGACTATTTTATTTGGTTCGGTGGTTTTCCTTTCCAAACCAATCATAACTTGTGACACTTCCTGGATATGTTTGTGTTTATAGCAGTTGTTAGTTATAATGGAAAAAAATTTCGTTTCTCGCTTCTTGCCTTCAAGAAATCATTCTTTTTGTGTCAAGTCTTTCTCCCTCCATTTTGAGTAAAAATATGTCCCCAAAAACAATAGGAAAATTTATGTTAATGTGACTAAAACATTCATAAATTCCTAATATTTGACTACCAAACTTAAACATGACTATATATGATATTTGAATTCAAGAGAGAAAAAGTGAGATCAAAATACATATCATACATATAAATACCATTAATTTAGGAACAAAAAGATATATAGTCATCTTTAAGGAATTGTCACATCTTTTGGTCACTTCTAGTAATTTTCGTAAAAGGGGTAACTGCCATTTTGTACATGAATTAAGAAATGATAGATGACATAAGTAAAAAAAACATTTCAGAAAGCCCTATTCCGTATAGAGTAGTAATTTACACAAATTATACTTCAATGTAAAGTATAGGAAATCGATCATTTTGCATTTTTTTATCGTCAACCCCGAAACTTTATTAATTCAACATATCGTTTGTCATCTGGCTATGAATACAATCAGGACTATCGATCATTTTGCATTAGAAATGAAAATTTATATTAACTTGTTCAGTCCATTGGGTGCAATATTTTTTTGTTTTCATATAAATCATGTAATTTCATCTTACAAAGCATTTTTATAACTTTCACCATATAAAATTTATTACATGATTGATACGACAGGATTTCAAGAAGTTCACGTTATTGGCGAAATTTATTACATGATTGATACGACAGGATTTCAAGAAGTTCACGTTATTGGCGATGTAAACAATTAAACTTGAGTGATGGATATGTATATCACATTGAAGAAAGTGCAAAACATGAATAAGTTTAAACCTAAGTTTTTTCTCTTTTTGAAATGAATCTATGAGAGGGTCATTTGGCATTTAAAGTTGTTTGGCTTCGCAATAGTGGATAAGCATCATGCTTTCATTCATCCTTGCTCGATTGTACGCCTGCAAATTCCTTAAAGTCACTAGGGTGCATGGCCCGACTCATTAAATTGTACAATTGCACCACATCGTCATTGGCTGAAGCATCCATTCTCTCATACTCCTGTGTTGGGCTTAGCAATCGCGTTAATGGAATTTGGACTGAATCAAAACCAATCATCCATTCATACCGATTTGTTTGTTCGCAACTTGTTCAGCCTTCCCCTCACTCGGGCCATTGTCCGGGTGAACATTTAACGCCAGTTTGGTTGGAAAACTTTGAGGAAAGAAGGAGATGGATCATATTTAAATTTAAAATAATTTTTCTTTAGAAAAATTGAAATAAAGTGAAGTAAAAATAGTACTACGTAGTATATAAAAATACATGATCTAACTAACAAATTCAGAAAAAATGATAAAGTAAAAAAAAAATTATAAATAATCAATCATCCCTTTCCCTCTCCTTTAGAAATTTCCCAACCAAACTGGCTCTTGCTGAACATCAAGAGAATATGGCATATATGTATCTTAATAATCAAAATGAATGCAAATATTTAAGAGAGAAATCTTTAAACAGGGATGAAACATGGCACTTTTCTCAAATAGAAGTAACATTATTTTGTTTTTAAAATATGACTCATGCACTCTTATTTAGAAAAGTGTTTATTCTTTTAATAGTATTTTGGAGAGAAAACATATTTACTCATTTTTTAGATCTTTGTCTATTTTTAACTCTGAGCAATTTTTTAATATTATTTTAAGCATTACTTTATGAATTAGATCCATATATCCCTCAATGTGACTATGTGAAGAGAAATATACACAATTGCACAGTGCACACCATTAGGAATTCACACACGAACAAATATCGAGTCAGTTTATTGACTTCAGTTAACTAGCCAATAATTCATTTCCGCTGTTTTATCCTTCAAATATTGCAAATTGGTAACTAATAATCTAATATTCCATTCATATATTGCAAGTTGCAACTATGAAAATCTAAGTACTTCTAACAGTAAATGTACAACATTCATTCTATATTCAGTTGAACATTTCAGAATTCACTTTTAATGCCAATAGAAAGAATTGACTTTTGATATTACACAACTTTGATCACCAATATATTTAATTGATTATTTATAGAAAATTTAAAAAATTAATTTGAGACAATTTTTGAAAAATTATCATATAAATTTTTGAAACATTAATAAATAAAATGTAAACAAAATACCGTGAAAGGGTTGCCAAAACTAAGGAACTGCGAACGAGTTACCACAATTAAGGAACTGAAAAGGTTTGTATATATAAAAGTACAACAAGGTTTACGCTGAAAAGAGTAGTCAAGGGAGGAAACCCCAAAAAAACAGACTCGCATTAACACAAATCAAAAGCAACAAAAACTATGAAACTTCTTAGACCAGGCCTACCAAATAAGTCATATACTATATAAACTATTACACTATTAAAAAAACACATTAATTAAACCACAATTAGAAATACTTGAACCAGATATGACAATAAACCAGTAATGGTGCTCTTCTAGTAACCCTGCTTCTCCAGACTTCAACCACCATTAGCAACTTCAGCATTTCCAGCTTCACCATCACCAACTCTATGGTTATTGGACTCATCAACACCAAGAACATCATCCATCATCATGTCATCTTCGGCAGCATTGATGTCTTCAACATCTTCTTCATAATCATTGCTATCATTTTCAGGGATCTTTCTGGTTTTTGGACCATGCTCGAGCCTATGGGTTTCTAGCTCCTTGTCCATCGACTCCTGGAGGTCTGCAGTGTTGTTGTTCACCCTCCTGCTCCCCCTTCGCCAATTTTGCCATCTCTCCATCTCTTTCTCAACATTTGAGATGTATTCTTCACCAATTTCTTTCTGATATTGTGACAATTCTTCTCTCCTGGCAGCTTTCCATTCTTGGAATATCTGGTGAACAGAGGATAAAAGGACCAGCAGGAATAAATTATTACAGTGAATGTATTTCTTTACTATCCATTATGAATAATTTAGGCTTTGCTCGGTTCTGAAGAAAGAGAAAAGAAAGGAGGGAATATGGAGCAAAACTGGGAAATTCACTTATTTGGGAAGCAAGGAAAAAGAGAGGTAAAGAAATAAATAGTTCTCGTAAGTCTTAAAAAAGATGTGGGCACACAATTGTGGGAAACAGAGGGATGGGACTATGGGAGCAACGTTTAAAATTGTGGCATGCCTTAATGCAATGCTTCTTTCACTTTTGGATGAGCCGCGAAGACTTCTACAGTTCTACGACCTTCTGTGTCTTTCTTCTCTTCGGCACGACCACAAAGATTTCCATTACCTTATGTGTTAGCTGTATCTTTCTTTTATTCACGCTAACGAGCCAGGTATATAATTATTTCTATACTTTCTGTGTTATATGTAACGTAGACACATAGTATAACTACTTTATTTATTCATATAGGAGAGCATATGTAGTCAGAATAATCGGTAAAAAACATGACGGAATATTATAATCGTTTATTGTCTAATTTGTTAATTGTGTGGATGGGTTTATGACCTTATTTTTTGTTGGCTTTCATTATGACATAAGTTCACTTCTAATACTCCGTAATTCTTATTTTACTGTCCAATTTTATACTCCAGTTCCTTATTATCATTTCTAGATTGAATGGAAGTTTGTCATTTTAATAATGATACACCCTTCTTTATTTTCCTTTTGTCTCTTATTTCTCTCTCACACCACAGTTCACAAAACTACCCTTTTCACCGTTTTATTTCATTGCACCTTCCTTCTTCCCTTTTCACTTCACTATTTCTCATGTAAAACAAACAATGTCTCAAGTCCAGTTAAAGCTTGAGAGAGGGAGAGAGACTGACCTGCTCTTTTTTCTTCTCTGTCAAAGCTGCATCTTCATCTTCTAGTGGTTTGGCAAACATATAATATACTGGAGGTTGTGCTTCTGTTCTGAAAGAATCAGTAAAAGAAAAAAAGAGATTATAGTTATGAAACCTTTACAAGAAAGTCTGTATCACCTCAAAATTCATGCAAAGCCGGGCATTGCACGTTTTTTAGCTGCTTCAACATTTCTGCTATGAATGGAAACTTATCTTTGATCAATAAAATTGTGAATATTCACACTTTTGGACCAAAATTAGAAATAACCTGCAAAACGAACAGAGTAATGAACTATGAGTATCAAGAATGACGCAAGCTTTATAAACTTATGCAAGTAAACAAATTTAAGGTGAATGGTTTTAATACAATAATCATGAAATTGTAAGAAAACCTTATAAAATTGCCTAGTCTTTTCTTATGCTCACTCCACTTGAGAAACAGCAACTCCATCCTCTTCTCCTCAGCTTTGGCAGCAATTCGTGCTCTAAGAGTCTTAATGGACAAACAAAAGACATCCAATTAAAACTGTGAACCACTCATTTTTCATCTGGCAAGAAACGCAACTAGAGATAAACCATAATGTTTAATTAATAATCACAAACCAGGTCCCTTCTTCGTTTTTCCACAATCAGCTCTCGCTGCTGTTGTCTTAATCTGTCACTTTCTTCACGTGCTTTTTGCTCAGCCTACATGCATAATTTTTACGACACTCATTAAGTAACACAACACACAGCTTGACAGCTTCCTAGGAGTCAAACTACTGCAATGAACACCAAGGCCTAATTGGGGATTGTGGTTGTGCTTGATAAAAGCTCATTATTAGAAAATAACTTGCAAGAATAGTGTGGGATACATTTTGAAAGTTAGAACTTATAAGTGTCCAGAATTGAGGTTGAATCTATGTAAACAAAATGTCAAAAGGTGAAATATTTTAATCTCAAATGCAGTTCTCAATTCACACTTTTGCGATAAGGTAACCTGTTGTTCCAAATCAGATTTTGGACAAAACAATAACTTGTTTAAGTTTGGGTTTGTGCTATGGCAAAATGAACTATTTCCACCTCAACACAATCCCAAAAAAGCCTAATGTTTCATGGCACACTTTGGACCTTGCAAATTTGAGTCTCATACTGCAGTGTCGGGTTGGTAATATATCACCAGCTGATACATAAACTGAAAGCTCAAAGGCACAGAAACTATTACATAATGTTCATAGAGGGAGTATAAACTCACCCTTCGTAGAGAATCTGACCTCCGCATATATGCTTCGGACCCAGAACGCTGCACATCTTCTTTTCTGAATTTCTGAACATATCCCATGCAATTTAGGTACCAACAGATTAAAATGGATTCCGCATTACTCTTTAAATGTAGCGTGGGTGTAAAAAATAACAAAGTGTGTCTGATTATTTAAGACGTACATAAATTTCTTTCAGCTTACCCATTTCATTAGGGGAGACATAAAAAATGAGTTTGGTAGTACCGCATACCTCTAAAGTGCCTAGAAGCTGACCGAGCATTCTCTTGTTTCTACTAACCAATTTAGGATCTTCATCTTTTGGAAACACTCTAGGAACATGCTCTTCTGGAGGTATATCAGAGACCTAATAATCACATGATAAGGAACAAAAAAATGGGTTCACTATTTTAGTTTGGAAACATAATTAAACGATTCAAAGTAAAAGAATAACTGTATAAGTCTTACCCTCTTGAAAGGCCTTTGACTCTCATCTCTTCTATTCCAGTTTGTTGGTATGCTCTGACCTTGCATTGCAATTCCTTTCCCTGGGTTATCCTCAAAAATAGATTCTTTCTTTATTACTTTTGGAGCTTCAGGCGCATCATCCACAATCTCACCATCTTCAATCTTCAACCAAATCCCAACTTATTAAACAAAATCATGCTACTTTTAATGCTAAAAAAGGGTCACAGGTTTTACAGCTCACCTTCACAACTGTAGATAATAATCTCCTTTTTGGCATAGGCTGGTCCTCGACATCATTCCCTTCGGCCTAGCAGAGACATAATCATGAGCATCAAGCAAGAAGATCGATTTCAAAGAAGTGCACACATATATGTAAACGGGTATTACCGGTCTGACAAGGCCACGCCGGCCGCCGTTGGCGACGAAATTCCGAGGACCAGAGCCCGTAAAACCACCGCGGCGAATGCCTCTTGGATCGCGAAGCCTCTCCGTTATCTGAGAACAAAAAAACGTCCGTCATACATAGAGACGTAATCACAGAGCCATACCAGATGTATAGATATGGATACAGATAATGATACCTCGCGACGTTGACGATTGAGTTCTTCGATTTCCTTCCGCAGCTCCTCCTCCGTCTTCTCCGCAGGGGCGCTGGCCATGGCTATGAACAACACTCCACCCTGCGAGTCTCCACAGTTGCCAAAGAAAAACCCTTGTGTTGCAGGTAAAGTCAAGAGCAAAACAGGTTAAACAACAAATCAAGTCATTAGTGTGCCCTTGGTTTTAGACTTTCAGTTCGAGTCATATTTTATGGTTTTGTTCTCTAGCTTCTAAACAATTCGTCCAAGCCTTTTTGTGAAATTACTTTGGTTTGGACTTTGGATCTCTTTTGCATCCAATTTGTTCAAAAAATTTGCTACAAGTAAATACACGTTTACAAAAATTCTTATAAATGATACATGTGATTATATTATATGGAGTATTGTTTAACATATTATATTATTTTTACATCAAATGTGATTATAATAATCTCATTGGAGTGCATAAATGATACTGATGGTTTACCGACCGTAGGGGTAGCCGGAAACCGAGAAAGTTAATAGAGAAGAAGATCGGGAAAATAGTAAGTCAGATCGGTAGTAATTTTAGCAGAGTAACAGCAAGGGAGTTCAAAATCGGATCCTCATTCACATGCTGGAGGGTGATATTTATACTAGAAATACAATACGTGGTGTTCAAGTAAAAAAAATGCCAAATTAATACAAAGAGGACATGTGCCCCCCTTCGTGCAATAGAAATAACAATCAGTGTAATGAGAAGGTGACATGTGTAAAGTGTGATTGGAGGGATAATCAATTATGTTAGCTGATTCATATGGATCCCATGCTGGTGACGTGCGCGCGTGTGCTTGTGGATTATTCTTTTCCTCATCCGTAGGGATGATGTGGCCTCCTCTGGATTGGTGTTGATGTGGGGCTTGGGTGATGCCCCAATGATAAAAACGGCCAAGTCCACAAACTGTTGGCAAGACTCCGAGCTCTTGGAGATCAGCCCTCGGCAGTGATGCTCTTCTCTAGGCCCATACGCATTCTGGGAAAGCCTGAGCCTTCGGAGGTCGGATCTTGGATGTTCATTCTCTGTCTGGGAAGCAGCTCTAAGTCCATTGAGGTCGGATCTTGCTGATTCCTAGCCTGATCAACCCTGACTTTTGTTGTCCAAGGTTGGTGTCATGACCGACCCCAGGGGTTTTGAGGTCGGGCTCAAGCTCAGACGTACGTCTCCACCCCCGGGCCCTCAGCTCAAGAAGTTCTAGCCCGAGGTTAGCCAACATATTCCCACGTCAACGGAGACGAACGTCTCTATTGGACCAATGGTAGTTACCCATCCGGACCAATGGCAGTTATCCATCCGGACCTAAGGCAACGGCAACACACGTCTCCACCCTGGGCCCTCAACCCACAAATTCTTAGCCCAAGGCTAGCCAGCATACTCCTATGTCAATGGCCAAAAGACGTACGGCCAACCATCCTTTGCGGTATCATCAAGGAAAGATCCAGGACTCGGGAGGACGCTCGTCTCCAAAGGAATGGGCGGGGAACCGAGATTCTGTTGTATCCGAGCGATTCCCGAGCTTGGTATTTTCCCGACCTCGAGGTCGGGGCGCTCGAGTTCGGACACGTAGTTTTCCTTTGTCCAGTTGATATCCGAGCTCGATGTTTTCCCAACCTCGGGGGTTGAGGTCGGGCTCGGACGGGATTCTGGTACTTAGTCATTTTGTGACGCCTTTGTGATCTTTGATCAGTGATTCTGATACCCCTGGGTATGTGGGGATATACTCCATCAGATACATCAACTATTGGTATTGTTTCATTTTGGTAGTTTAACTCTTAAATGAATCAAATCGATAATACATACTCCCTCCGTCCCACAAAGATGTTCCCGCTTTCCTTTTTTGGATGTCCCAAAAAGAAGTTCTCCTTTCCCTAAATGGAAAGTTATCCTACATCAAAACAGTGTCAAACAGTGCAAAACAGTGTCTAAACAGTGTCAAACAGTGTCTAAACAGTGTCAAACAGTGTCTAAACAGTAAAGTCAAATTTATTTCCTAAATATGTGTGTCGGTCAAACCGGGAACATCTTTACGGGACGGAGGGAGTAAATGTTTCAACTTGAGATTTTTTCAAATTTGTGGACAAAAATCTTTCATGGCGGTCAAAACGTCATGTGTAAAATTGCCCTATAGTGATTATATGAACAAAAATAAGGCAAAGTAAACTTTGCGCATAGAAATTTGGTCTCCGTGAGTGATTTTTTTGCTGCAAATTTGAATAAAACTCAAATTGAAACATTTATGTATAGTTATGGTACTGATTTGATTCATTTAGGAGTACTAAAATGCATCAATATAGTTCATGTACCATTTATGCATTTGACCCGCTTATTTCTATGTGTTTTATAGGGTTGTTTATACTTGTTACATTTTCATTTGCATAATGTCCTAGATGATCAAAGTTGTAAAATCATCTCAGACTTTTTTCAATTAATATAACATAGTATATACTCTATAATTTCAGTTACGATTGAATTCAAACATGTGAACTTCACTTTACAAAGTATGGACAATGTCATCAACCATAAGGTGGTAGGTAATATAAATCATATTTCATTCATTTATAAATTGCATATGGAATGTAAGTCCCAACTATGCTTGTGACAATGTGATTGGTCATAAGATCGAAGAAAGATCCTAAGACACTAATTAATTGTTGATCGGAACGGGAAATTACACTTGCCACTCAATGATCTAACTTCTAATAAACATAATAAGAATAACAATGTCATCATAGCATTTCAATGAAACTTTTCCATTCAAATTGATTTCTTCATCATCACTCACAAAGAGACTTTCACTCACACCACCAACCGCATATGATCCATTAAATTGATTACAATCCTTTTAAAGAATGAATCTCATTTTCGAAGTTACTTCCTTGAACCAATCTCATTTTAACATTTTTTAAATGCCTTGTTCATTGACCCCCAATTATGTAAAATTAAAGGCGGCGCACCATTTGAAAGAATGGGAATTGGGGTGTTGATGTTTTTAATTCCTAACTCAAGTATAGAACACCGTCATATACTGTCGTGGTAGTAGCATTTAATCTCTCAACTTCTTGATGAAATCAATTAAGATTGATAACCTCAACAGAACGGTTTTGGTTTATTTAACACAATTAATCCTTCTTAAGATTATTAACTATGAGACCATGCATTAATAACCCAAAGTTACTTATTGGTGAAACCATCGGTGATTAACCATCGATTTATCGATCGTTTCTAGTATTAATTAATGTCAAAGCCTTAACTAATCGTCGCTTAGCAACACCCAACAATAATATAGAGATAAGATAAGGGAAAAATAATAATTTAGGGAAAAAGTTAAGAAGAACTTTCACATTAAACAAACTTCAAGAGTAAAATCAAGAAATGTGAGTTTAGCTTCTGATTTGGAGATTAAACATGCTAGAAAATATAAAGAAAATAATGTTCTAAATTGAGCTTAAGTAGATAGAAGAAGGGATGTCCAAATTAGAAACAAACGGGGTGTATTTATAGGCTTTTAGAGGTGGTGGGGTATTATGCCCGACTGGGTAAATAGAGTACAGATCGGGCATCCTTCGCATGAGCCCAGAAGCTTCAAAATCACATCATACCCGACCGGGTATGTCAGTCCACCCAATAGGATAAAAGGCAAATTATCACAAAATATTCTTGCATGATCATTTGTTCCCGTATTTAATTTAGACACCCCCGGATCAAGCAAATACCCGATCGAGTGTGACCTATACCTTACTGGGTATAAGAGCAATTTATTCCAAACAGGTAAGATTGAAGTCGTTTTTTAAATGAATTGTCCGAAGTTATATAGAGGACAATTCTAACTATTTTCATACACTTCCTTCTTTATTTATGTTAGAAAAAAGTATTTTTTTAGGAAAAGAAAAATTAATTTTAAAACTCAGTATACACCCGCTTCTTTAACTACGGAGTAGGTTATACGTAGTATATAGGGAGAATTTGACTTTGCACCCTATGTTTTGGTTGATATTGGACTTTGCACTCCATTTTCAAAATCATTAATATTTGCACCCTATTTCACTATATAATCATTTGACTTTGCACCCCACTCCTTCACAATTTTTGAGCTAATGGGGTGCAAATATTAATGATTTTGAATATGGGGTGCAAAGTCTAATATCGCCTAAAACATAGGGTGGAAAGTCAAATTTCCCCTAGTATATATAATACTCCCTCCTTCCCATTGAAACGTTCTCACTTTCCTTTTTTGGACGTCCCATATAAAAGTTCTCATTTCCGTTTTAGGAAACAATAAACAATTTTAAGTGACAAATTGATCATTAAATATTAAAAATAATACGTTTATAACATCACAGTTGATCAATACTAACTACATTATAATATATACCTATTAAAATTATTTCTCAAAACATACTCGAACTACTTTATTTAATTATTGTCTAAATAACCGTGCCGTTTTGCTATATGTGTGAGAATAATGGAATGGTGTACCTAATGTGGTAGCCCTGGGTGTGTATATATATGAAGAAGTGTTTAGAGTACATTAGGAAACATAATACAATAGGAATCCTAATACAAGTAAACTAGGAAATAATAATTACTCTATAATTACTCTATTACACCCCCTCAATCTGTGCAGGGGAAACAACGCGCAGATTGTCTCTAAGAAAAATAAATCGCTGCGAAGAAAGACACTTGGTGAATATGTCAGCAAGCTGAAACTGTGTAGGAACATGGCGAACAATCAAATCTCCATGCGAAACGCGTTCGCGAACAAAATGATAATCAATGCTGATGTGTTTGCTGCGTGCATGCAGAATGGACCTGATGTGTAGTGTATCCTGAACTGTGTATGCAATAGCCCTGTATTCAGCTTCAGTAGATGAACGGGAAACAGTGGGCTACTTCTTGGACTTCCAGGAGATCAAGTTAGGACCCAAGAAAATAGCAAAACCAGACGTGGAATGGCTGGAGTCAGGACAACCAGCCCAATCAGCATCAGAATAAGCCTGAATAGTAGGAGATGACTGATCTGGCTGAAGCAGCAGTCCGTGAGCTATAGTTCCCTGAAGATACCTGAAAATGCACTTAACAGCCAAAAGATGTGAAGTACGAGGTGCATGCATAAACTGGGAAACTAGGTGAACAAAAAAAGTAATGTCAGGTCGAGTCATTGTCAAATACTGTAAGGCACCGACCATACTTCTGTACTCCGTAGGATCTGCAAGAAGTTCACCATCAGTGAGAGATAACTTAGT